TCCTTGGCCACATCTCATTTTTGCCAGTCTTAAGAAAAGGGGGCAGCCTGAGGCTCCTGAGCCAGGGCTGTGCCAGGGACAGGCCTGCAGCAAGAGGGTGGAAGTGGAGCTGGCGGCACATCCTGGGCCTGTCCAGGAAGAGGGCACTTACAGAAACAAATGGCTTAATTACCCTGGTACTCAGGGCGGGCTCACAGCAGGAGGCAGGATGAAGGGGAGGCAGTCTGTTTCTGGGAATGGGCGATCCAGAGTCCCTGTGATTTGGTTATACGTGGGCCTATAGCAGAGGAGCAGTGGGGTGGCTGTTTCCAAGGCAGGAGGCAGCCTGGGGACTGACTGGCTTCTAGCCCTGGCTCTAGCCTCTGGCTGGGCAGCCTAGAGAAAGCCACTTACCCTTGGTCAGTGAGGGAGAGGTGTGCCTACTTCAGGGGGCTCTTGTGAGCTTTGAAAATGGCAATATATGGCAACTGACTTAAGAGTTAGATCATATCTCATTTGAACTTTGGTTCTATCACTTCCCAGGTAGGCGATCCTAGACAAGTCATTTAACTTCTCTGAGTGTTTCCTCATTCATAAAATGGGTGTAATACTTCACAGGATTAATGGAAGAGTCAATAAGACAACACACATAAAGAATCTATTGTGTATTTTGCTGTCATTATTGTTAATATCAGCACAGCCACCAAGAGGCTCTTTACCAAGTTATTCCCAACCCAGGTCAGCTGGCTGCCTGGATTCATTTATCACTGTCTGGTCTGCTACTCTGCCTGGGAGCTCTGGCTATGAGCCCAGTCCCTTTCACCTTCCAACAGCTCTCCTGCAATGATGCTGCCGGCTCTGCCATCCACAGCTGTCAGATGCAGGCTGAACTGACATACTGCCCTAGCTAACACTTTCTGGGGTACCCGTCCATGGCTGTAGAGTCCTAGAAGCCTAGGACAAGGGGGCTCAAAGAGACATTCTAAAATAAGTTCTCAAACTGCAAAGCACTAAAGTATTCTTATAAAAGCTTTGAACTATGTTGTGAACCCAGAGGCAAACGGAACAGGACACTTAATGAAAACACCACCACCACACAGCTACTGTTTGCTGAGCACTGGAGTAGGCAGTTTACCCACACCATCCAATAAGCTTTGCAAAAGCCCTGTGCTGAAGACTGGGAAATGAGCTTGGTGAGCTGAACTTGCACCAGGCCACCGAACAGTGGAGGAGCCTGGATTTGTTTCCCCACCCCAGGCTGCTGTGTAGCTTTCTCTTATCCAACTTCTCTAATCCAAGCTTTTAAATTGGCTTCTTGGAGGAGGAAGAGGCTGCAAAAGATTTACTCTATTATACGGGGAGAAACACCTTTATAAGATATCCTCTGTAGTAATCTCAGGCAGGACTTGATTGCAGGGAGGCAGAAACGATCACAGGCCAAACTTTGTTTCTCAGAGACAAGAACGAGAAGCTGGTGTGTTAAAAGTAAAGGCAGCTTTGGGGCAGGCTGACAGGTGGACTTGGCAAGTAGTAATGGCTGTAGGTGAGAATTACTTTTTGTGATGGACATCTATTGTTTTTGCCCACCCAGTATCTATTCTTTCTTCTGGTAAGAGAAATGCTGGCTGTCCTTCAAAGAACTGCCCTTCTTTCTGCAGCCCTTGCAATCCATGGAGACCAGGATGTGTGTCTGACAGACCTGGGCAGAATCACAGCGACTGGCTCAGGACAATGCAAATGGGCCTGGTCTGTTACCAGAACTGAGAGGGAAGTAATTACAGGAGTGTCCAAGATGTAAGGACACAGCCTGGAACTGCTGACTCCTTGCAGGCCCCATTCATGGGAGCCTGCCCAAGGAAGAGCCACCCCAGGGAGGCAGAAACGGCCATATGCCAGCATCCTCACCCAGGATTGCCAGAAGGGCACACTCGTGGAACTCACCAGCTACAAGAGTCAGTTGGTCTCTTTTCTGCCTGGACCAGTTTGCTTTTAAACCAATTCTGACCGGCACCAATACCACCATTAATGAGTGCTTATCATGGGCTGGGAACATGTTAAGGACATTACACAAAACATCCCATTCAACTTTCACAGCAACAGGACGGTTGGGACCTCATTTTATAAATGAGGAAACTGAGGCACAGAAGGATTAGTGTAAAGCCACTGTGCCAAGAAGGGGCAGAAGAGGAGTTTGGATTCCAGGATCTCCGATTCCAAGGCCCTTGCTCTGACACATTAGGTTACCCTGCCCCGTCTGGGAGAGAAAAGATTTTTGTGCTTACAGATAGACATTTTAGAGACTCTGTAAATGACCAGATAGTTACAGTTCACAGAAAAGGGAATACAAATGAGAAGATGCTCAATCCCACTCAGAACAGAAATGCAAGTAAAATGAAGCTACTGTACCACTTTTTATCTATCAGACTGGCAAAAGTAAAGTTTGAGGATACACTAGGCTGGCATGGAGGTAAGGAGAGGGCTATCCACACCTCTGAGCTAGCAGTGTAAACCAGAACAATCTCTATGCCAAGGGAAATCTCCAATGCACAGGCCCTTTTACCAAGCCTTCTGCTTCTAAGAATTTATCCCCTAGCTGTACTTGCAGATGTGCCTTACACAGCTTATTCGTAGCAGTACTGATGAAAAGAGCAGAAAACTGACTCCTACCTATCAGCATGGGACCTCTGCACACAAAGGACTCCTATGCAGCTGTGAAAGGTTCTTATAAATTAATAATGGCAGGGCCTTCAGACATATTTTTAAGGGAAAAAGGCAAGGTGTTGAACAATTTGAATTTGTATAGTATGCTATTAGTAGTGTTTAGAAATAAACGAGGAGGAAATATATATATAGTCGATCCTCATTATTCATAGGGTCCACATTTACAAATTTACCTACTTGCTAAAATTTACTTATAACCCCAAAATCAGTGCTTGTGGTACTTCAAGGCCATTCAGACATGTGCAAAGCAAAATTTGAGTCACCTGATGTACACATTCCCAGCAGAGGTCAAAATAGGCGACACTCTGCCTTTTTGTTTTCACGTTGTAAACAAGTATTCTTTTCAGTCTATTTAGTGCTACATCTTTCACATTTTGGTGCTTTGTGTGGGTGATTTCTGTGTTTAAAATGGCCCCAAGTGTAGTGCTGAAGTGCTGCCTAGTGTTAAGTGCAAGAAGGCTGTGATGTGCCTTATGGAGAAAATCCATGTGTCAGATAAGCTTTGTTTGGGCAGAAGTTACAGTGTTGTTGGCCATAAGTTCAATGTTAATGAATCAACAATGTATATTAAATAAGGTGTCTTTAAACACAAATACAAGTAAAAGAGGGCTCTATGCTAACCGGTATGACAAAAATGTTAGGACCAGAGGCTCATAGGAACCCAACTCTGTATTTCTTCTAAGAACACTGGAGTAGGACTTGCTAATTCAGTATTTGTGGTAACTTTACAGAATATAAGAACTACAAATAACAAGAATCAACGGTGTATGTATATGTTTACATGTATATAGAGGTGTGTGTTTACCTGCTGGTATATTCCTAAACTCTCTCTGGAAGTATCCCCGAGAAACCAATAAATAACACTAGTGATCTCTGCAACAACTGGTGGCTAGGAAAGAGAATTTTTACTATATAGATCCTCTGTATCTTTTTAATTTTGAACGAAGTCAGTGTATTACGTATCCAAAGATAAATACGAAAATGAAACCAGAATGTTTTGTCTGCCTTCAGTGCATACCATCCATCACAGGCTGTCTTCATAAGTCCCTCTCAGGTACTGTAGTGTGGGAGGAAAAGGGGACACATCTGTCATCCATTCATCACTTATCTGTCTATCTACACTACCAATGCAGTATTAGAAGGGGCAAGGCCCTGAGGCCTGTTGGCTGAGGGGAAGGTTTCAGAGCAGGATGGACTGCAATGGTAACAAGCTGCCAATCATGACCCATACCCTGGCCTGAGTCAGCTTGCTTGATGGCTCACCTGGGTGCTCTCATCATGGAAGCCCTCGAGGAAGCTCTCCAGCAGTTCATCGGCATTGTCGATCCGCTCGGCATACTCGCCCACAATCCAGATCATGGCAGCCCGGGCCTCGGGCTCATCCAAGGAGTCCAGATTCTCGCACAGTGTGGCGATCACACTCTCATACCTAGAGACCCAGCACACAGCTGGCATGTGAGCACTGAGGGAGGAGGCCCAGCGGGGGCCAAGAAAGACAGGCAGATGCCCTGAAAGACCCCAGGAGGGTGATGAGTAATGAGATTGGAGTTTTATGTTACATTTTAGTTCTTATTTTGGTCTGTGGAGCAGAGGGGCAGCTCAGGAGAAGAAAAAACAGAGTTTTTTTTGAAAATGCTGTTTTGTGGCAGGGAAGCAAGGAAGAGGGGAGAGGCTCCTTCCTTGCTTTTTCTCCCCACCATCCCTGTCCCCAGGAGAACCGCATCACTCTCATTGGGAGGAGCAGACCACATACTTGTTGGGGTACTTGCGGAAGATGTCCTTGATAACCACGATGGCTTCCTGGACCACATAGTTGACCTTGGTCTGGATGAGATCGAGCAGCGTGCTCACACAGCGCTCTGCAGATTGCTGTGGGAAGGAGAGATTGTGGGCAAGGCCTCTGCACCCTTCTCCAGTAGAACATCTGATGACTGTGCCTTGGCCAAGGGCTCAGACACACCTTGCCCACCTTCCTTGTCACGGCAGGAGAAAAGAACACTTTCTCGAGATAACTGGTGGGAGAATGAGTACAAAATGATGGCCCTGGGATGGCACGGACAGAAAGAGATAGAATTAGACTGAGGAGAAGGCCTGAGAGTGGGGAATCCTTTTGACCAAGCCCTGAGGGTACAGCGAACAAGCTCTAGCCTAACTTTACCTCACTTCTACTTGTTTCTCAAAATGGTCTCCTGGGACCAAAAACACTTAGAAAAGCTCTGCTCGGACAGTTCCCACCCCACCTCATTCCAATGCACTGTGCTAATGCCCTTGTGGGAGAGATTTCTTAGGATGCCATCAAAGGTGCCAAGGGGAAAATGCCACAAGGTGCTGGAGTGACCAGCTGTCTTAGGATCCCCGAGCCCCAGTAGACCTGATTAAGGAGAGTCAGCTCAGTGGTTAAGGCACATCTCCATAGGCAGAGAATAGGAGCGATGAAATGCCTAGACATGGGGTCTGGATAGCCCTCGGGAGCTTGGAAAAAGGGGCACATGGACAGCTGAAACATGATATTTGCCAAAACATTTGCCAGGCAGAGCCCCAAAGCTCTATGGAATGAAAGTGTCAACCAGGGCCACCACCAGCTGGGGCTGCCCCATCCTCTTAGCTAATACTGCAAAGGAACCCATGATTCTGATAGGTTAATTTCATCTGCAACAACTCGAAGGCCTAAGGGAGATTACAGAATGAGAAGCAGCCCAATCAAATCTGCACAGTGGGTGCCTTGGGGACTCTGGTGGTGACCCTCAGGCCTCCTAGGCTATGAGCAGCTGGCAGATTCTGCTATAATCAGATTGGTTTCCTGGTTTCATCTTCCCTCCCTCATCTTCTCTAAGCTGAAGACAGAGTCCCAGAACCTCACCTCCACCTTGATGGCACAACGGCCAATGGCTCGCACAGCCTTCCGTACAAAGTCTACATCCACCTCTGTTGCGTACTCTTTAAGCTCTGCCAAGACCTGTGGGCCAAACAGAGAAGAAGAGTTTGAAGGGGATCTGGTGGGGTAACCTCCTGGAATACCATGGGCAGTGGGGATGCATAGATTCCTAGAAGGATGGGATTCTGCCTCTTGCTAGAGGTGGAAGGCCCAAGGGAGAGAGCTGTCAGGTGCCCCAAGAGGAAAGCAGGGAAGGACTAGCTGGCAGGGCTGGACAACACTTTTTTAGGTTGATATAGTTAACATATCTACCTAACTATCACTTTTCAATGGATGGATAATAACACAAAAAAATAAATTCTTTATTACTTAACATTTGTTATGTGCTTGCTTACAGAGCCCCATGCCCTGTGCTTAGCACTCTTCATGAGTTGAACTATTAACAGTGAGAACAGGCAGCCTGCCCAGAGACCACAGCTCGTTGGTGGTGTTACTGTCCAACACCAACGCCTGTGCCCCTGGCCACTGCCCTCTGCTGACCTGGGCAATGTTGGCCTGGGAGGCCAGGCGGATCATGATGTCCAACTTCTCCAGCTTCACGTAGATGGGGTCATTGTACTTCACGAAAAAGACCTTCATCTCGTGCTTTAGGATCTCAGGCCTGGTGGCAGGGCAGGGTTGCCCGAAGAGCAAAAAGCAAGTCATAAGCCCTGTGAGAAAACCCCTTCCATGTTTGCTGGGACATTTCTGGGGTCTGAGGTGGAGTCCAACATCCATGAAGGCAGTCACCACCATGGCTGCACACTCCTGGTCAGAGGGCCCTCTGACTGGCCTGAGCAAAGTTCTGACTGACCATCGTGTGTCTAATCACATCCCGGGAAGGGAAGAGGGAATTTGAGCAAGAGATAGTTCGTATTAGAGGCACCAGGCGATGGGCTTGGCCTTGGTTCCAATCCCAGCTAATGATTAAGGCCTCTGCTTCCTCACCTGTGCAATGGACATGGCACTGTGCTAGAGAGTGCTACCATTGCAGACCTGAGTCTCTCTCTAGTTTTAGAAAGGCCTGGAGTCTAGGAACTCAGCTTTTGGGCGTGTTTTCAACATTCCCTAGATGATAAAAGTGGTTAACTGTGCCTAGACTGTATAAACAATATAGTCTATGTTAAATATCTGCTTTTCTTCTGGGAGTCCGGAATTTTGGTAGGTGCCAGGCAGAGCGTGCCAATGTGTCAAATAGGCCCCCCCAGGCAGAAACATTATACCCATGTTGTTGCATCTTGTTGCTGAGGGAGGAGTGTGCTTTGTGTGACCCCCGCCCCCATGGAAGGGAGGGAGTATAAGGAAGCATGCATGTGGATTTCTCCAGACTCCACCTGTGTCATTCTCCCTTAGGACTCAGTTGTGTATGCACCCTCACTACTATGCCAATAATAAATCTTAGCTGGGAGAACAACTACATGCTGACTCCCATGAGTTCTAGTGAGTCTTTGAATGCAGGGTGGTCCTGGGGGCCCCCCAGACACCTACAAAACAGGATTGTTGTGAGAGTTAGACATGAAGCATCTAGCATAATTAATGTGTGCCTTACAAAAGGCTATGCAGGAGCTGTCACCAGTGTCGTTGCTCCTTTCTCAACTGGCACCATCCACCTCATTTTTCTTAGATGAGGAAAGCTAAGAGGTGGAGAGGCTTGCACCAGGTCACACAGCTAGTGCTAATAAGATGAGAGTCACCACCAACTCCTATGCTCTTTCTAGAACAGAAAAGATGGTGGAAAAGAAATGAGGACATGAAGGGAGAAGACAGAGCAGAAAGAAAGGGGAGGGGGGCCCTGGGTACTCCATGCTGCTGTGCAAGCTGCAAGGAGGTCCTGGCAAAGCAAGGAGCCTCCACCTTGCCTCTGGGGGAGGCAGGTTTCCAAGCTGGGGACAGCAGAAAGAAGTGATTTCTACAATCAGGACTTGTTAAAAAGTGCTCTACTGCATATCAGGACTGGGCCAAGTGATGTCTTGGCGACAGGGTCAACTTCTTAAGAGATTTGCAATGTTAAATATAGCCCAGGGAGCCCTTTGCCCTGATCCTGATCCACAGGTTACATCTTACTAATCCCACCCTGCAGCTAGGAATCCCTGTCTTACCCCTTTGTCTAGGCTCTCAGAGCTTTCTCATGTTTAATTCCCAAACCTTCACAAATGTCTCGATTCCACTGGGCCACCAAGAATGTCCTAAGAACCAGGGTGATGCTAAAATGACAAGGAGCATGCGCTTTCTTTCGAGAGAGAATGCCTACAAGGCCCTTTTTCTCTGCATAGCCTTGCTCCCACCAACAGGGTTGCTATAACACATGGGTGCTGGTGAGTTAGTTGCTGAGCGAGCCAAAAAGGCTGCGAAAACTCAAGTCCAGCTCTATTCTGTGGAGCTGCTGGGCTCATTCACTGGCTCGTTCCAAAGAACCCCTTTGGCTCTGGGTCCCTAGGACCTGCACTGCTAATTCCTTTTTCATTCCTACCTGCCTTGAGCATTAGGCACCTTCCCTTAGGAGGAGTGGCTTACTGCCGCAATCGTTCCCATGGAGAGGATGAAAATGGGCTGCGCAGCACTCTGAGCAACTCTGACATACCCCATCCCTGGCCCCAGACTGATGCAAAGTCCACGGCACCTTACCACCTGGAGTTCTCCAACTTCAGACTCTGTCCCAGGAAAAATACATGCGCACAGACAAAATCTTACACCACGTTTCTAGAGAGCTCTGTGGACTGTGTGGAACCATCCATTGTCTGTGGTTAAGAAGCTCCGTGTTAGCTTTTACCTGACCTGCTACCTGATTAGACTTAGCCAGGGTTTCTCAACCTCAGCACTGACATTTTGGATGAAACAGTTCTCCGTGGTAGGGCTGTCCTATGCATTGTAGGATATTAAGTAGCATCCCTGGCCTCTACCCACTAGATGTAGCATCCCCAGGTATGACAACCAAAATTGTCTCTAGATGTTGCCAAATGTCCCTTAGGGGACAAAGTTGTCCCTGGCTGAAAACCCCTGGGTTAAGCTACTGAAACTTCCTATACGGTGACATGTCAGTTTCCCTTGAGCCCGTTCCCAGCAGCAGAAACCCCAGGAGTACACACAGCATGTGTGTGGCAGTCCTGGTACCTTTTCTGCACGATGAGGTTGATGTTGCGCAAGGCCACATACTGCAGCTCAGGCTCAGCTGACAGCAGTGTAACCAAGGGTGGGGCCAACTTCTTGAGCAATGTGCCATAGTAGTCCAGGTCCTTGGACAACATCTCCATGAACTTCATTAGCACCTTCACAGCAGAAAGCACCACAGCTGAGTTGGCGTGGGAGAGCCTGGGGGTGACCCGCTCACAAATGCTGAGGTCCGTTCCAAGGGGGCAAATAGGAGAGACAGACAAGGGGAAACAGCTGTTTTTAGTTATCAAAATAGCATGTCTTTTGTAAGTGGAAGATCTAGATTCTGGTTCTGCAGCCTGTAAACTGACCCCAAGCAGGTGAAAACCACTCTGAAACTCATCTAGAAAATGAGGCCGATGGCACAGGGTTGCTGGGGCTTAAATGAGACAATGTGTGTAAAGTACCAGCACAATGCCCCGCATATAGAAAATACTTGATAAATGTCAACTCCTCCTTTCCCCTAGTATAATGGCATTCAAAAGAGGCAGGACATCATGTTGGTTAGGACCAAGAGTCAGGGGAGTCTCAGCTGGGTGACCTGCACAATTTTCCTCTACCTCTCTAAGCTGGAGTTTCCTTACCTGTAAAATGGGGACAATGATGGGACCACTTTCACAGAGCTGCTCTAGGATTATCAAATGCATGGGAAGTGAGAACTCAACAAATGGTGGCTCTGATGCTATCCACCTCCTTCACTCAACCTGAGGTAACCAGGATTTCTGTCAGCTCCCAGGTCAGGTCCTGGCTTCTGTCTGAGCACTGACTGCTTGAAGCAACACCACTGACAGCCTGGCTCTGGCCTCTCTCAAGTGAGTCTCAAGATGATCTATGGGGAGCCCTTCACCCTGACTGGGATCCACGGGTTACTATACCTTACTGGGGCAAGGCCCTAGGAAGGAGCCCACTGAAGGCCTGAGGCCCAGCTCATGGTTAGAGCCCCCCTGAGGACCAGCTCCAGCTGGGCTGGTAAGCAGGGGGCAGCCTGCTCACCTCTGGGCCTCTCGGTCGTCTTTGGGCGTGTAGTTGGCCAGGCAGTCCAGGATGAAGATCTGGCCCCATTCAGTGCACTCGTTCAGGGCTGTTAGTAGCTTATTAATAGACTGAGGGTTCAGGTCAAGGAGGTTACTGCTGGGGTGAGACTCGGCGATCTCTGAGAGAGCAGCTACAGCGTTTGCAACCACCTGGTTGAGAGAGTAGAAGGGGTAGGGGCTGTGGACACTGCTCATAGGCCAGAGGGCAGTGGGGCTAATGATGCTGGCTGGTTAGAGGTTGAATATCCTGAAAACATATGACTTGACAGGCAGGGTCTGGAGCAAGAGACCCACTCTAAGCACTCATCCTACTGACTCCTCTGTAAACTGGAACTAAAATAAGTGCACTTGCCATTAAAGAAAAAAAAAAAAAAGAAACAGAAGAAAGATCTAGTGCCGGGTGCCTGGCAACAGAAAGCCTTCCAGCTACCTAACACACAGCATTCATCTACCAGTTACAGTAGCTCACTTCAGGGGTTGTCAACAGTGCTTCTCAGAGATAGAAGATTCCTGTAGAGCCTCTCAGGGCTCCTGGGGACAGATGGGGACTGGAGTAGAGAGGGGCTTGCCAGGTGAAGCTCTGGGCTCTCAACCCATTTCCACCAGAGCAGCTGTTTTTATGTGCTCCACATGGTTTTCAACTTTTTCCATGACAAGTACGCCAGTGGCCATCCATGTACTGGGCACTCAGCACCCGTGTAGGAGAGAGGGGGATGGCTAGGCTGAGGGTTTGTGCATTTCATTTTAAACAGGGGCTGCTGAACTGCCCTCCAAACTGCTGCCCACCACTTTGTGTGAGAAGACAAGTTCCCTTTCCAGCTATATCCTGCTGTCCTAGCCTTCAAGCTATGTTACTGCAGGGTGACCTCTACAGCCCTGGAAAGATGATGGGAAAGGGAAAAGTATCTCACATCCAGAGTTCACCAGTGGTCTTTGTGAGACAATGATAGTGACTAGAAAGAGGGCTAGTCTTGGTTGCACACCCACTGTGTGCCAGGTTATACCAGGCACGTTGCCTTCACAGCACTCCTGCCAATCATGTAGAATTAGATCCATCTTATTGATAAAGAAAAGAGGATTATGGAAGGTTAGGCAGCTTGCCCAAAGTCACACATCTTGTTAGAGAAAGTATAAAGAAGGGAATCCAGGTCTGGCTCACTTCAAAGGTGGTGTCTGAATCACTGCAGGCACGAGAACAATTAGCCCACCCAGCAAGGCTCTGACTTCTAGGAACTGGGAACTGTCTGGCTGAGGGTCTATTCAAGGTCTTCTCAAGCAACCCAGGAGGTAATGAAGATGGCAGCAGCTTACCATGGGGTTAGAATCAGATATGAGGTCTTTAAGGGTGTCCAGGAAGCCCTGGTCCTCTACCAGCTGGGCGTTGATGTCGTGTAGCTTGGCCACACACACGGCTGCTGTCTTGCGCACGTATGGGTCCTCATCTTTCAGGCACTTCCTGAGTGGCTCGCACAGGTACTCTGTGATCTTGTCAACGCGGATGCAGCCCATGGTCCGCACAGCCAGGGCCCGGATCAGGGGGTTAGGGTCCTCACAGTCCTAAGGGGAATGAGCCACATCAGACAGCTGTTAAGAGATCTCCCGCCAACTGTGGCCAACAGCATCAAAAGTGCCAAGTATGGGTGCCTACCCTATGCCAGATATTGTGCTGAGCCTTTGTGTTTTGTTACTTTGATTCTCACAGCAGACACATAATATTCTTCCTGTTTTACAGGTGAGAGAGCTGAGGCTCTCAGGAAGGTTGAGAGCTCACCCAGCCACAGAGCAGAGCTATGAGTGAAACCCACATCCATCTAGCACCACAACTCTTAATCTTTCCTTTAGGCCACAGAACTCCTCATTTGCCCGTATCTGGGCATCAGCAGGTGTAGGGGAGCTAAGGTGTACAGAACTGACAATTGGAGTCCTCATTTCCTCCTCAATCTGGAGGACAGAAAATGCAGAAAGGAGCAAAGTCTAGAAGGAGAACAGAGAAGCTCTGACACTAGCTGAATCCTGCCCTGGCAAAGGATGCAGGCAATGGTTCATCCCTGGGGGCACTCCCAGGGGGGACCTCCCATGGAATGAGTTAGCAGGGTCTGTAGCATCTGATTTTCTGCAGATGGGAGCCCTTTGCTGGAAGATGAAGCCCTCAGACTGGGAGTCAGAGGGCCGGGAAAGGAGCCTGAGTGTTTCTACACAGGGCCATAGTCCCTCACCCCAGGAAATTGAGGGGAGATGGAGCCATGAGCACCCATCTCTCTCCTCCCATCAAGCTCCTACTCACCTTCACAAAGGTGTTGACAGCCATGATGGCCATGTCAGGCTGACTCTTGGCATAGTTCATCAAGTACAGGTACACCAGCTTCTTTAGTTCCAGGTTGTCCGTCTGCATACAGTTTACCACGTCGGGAAAGAGAGCACTATAAGGTCAAAATGGTGTCAGTGTGGGGAAAGCCAAAGAATGAGAAAGATTTTTCAGGCAGCTAACGGAGGGATGCGGGTGCGGGTAGACAGTGGATAGGAGGAAAGGAGAAAGATAACAAGACTTCCTAGTTAAAGGGAGGGCATCAGTTATGCTGTTACCATGAACACCTACTGGTAGAAATAGAATTCCAAAGGGCGATTTTTAAAAGGAAAAAAAGTCCTCTGTTCTTTTCTCAGTGTTCAAACAAGAGCTCTGGAGCCCATTAGACCTGGCTCAAACTCAGCTCTGTCTCTTGTTAGCTGTATGATGTTGGAAAAATTCCTTCATCTTCCCCAACACCACCCCACATCTGTTTCTCATTTGCAAGAAAGGTGCAGCAAAATCCCATTTCACAGGACCCCTGTGATAATTATAGAAGACAACATACTTGATATCTGGGAGGTGGTAAATACATGAAAATGATTGTTTTCCTCCCAATACTTAATGTGGCTCCTTATATTGGGCTGCTGGTTCAGGAAGGTTGTAGAAGGCAGGGATGGGCCATGCTGCTTTCACCACAAGGGCCAGCTCAAGTGTCCACTAAAAACCAACCCAGTATGTATTGAGCATGTGCTATATACAACAGGCTTGGTATTAAGGGCTCTTAATATGTACCTGATCTCATTTAACAGCCCTAAGAAGCCAGAGTATTGTCCCATTTTACAGAAGACAATAAATGTCAAATAACCTGCCTGAAGAGCCAGGTCTGACTCTGAAGCTCATGCTCAGGATTGCCGCTATTCTGGGTGGAACTGTTCTCAGCATGGTACCCACAGTCCCAGAGTCACAGGCCACTTGAGATGTGAAATATGGTTAGAGATCAAGTTTCTGTCTCTGGAATCATCACCTTCCCTCTTAAGCCTTGTGATTTTATGGGTAAGGACATGGTATCAGAGACTTTGAGCCCCAATAGGCAGAAGACCCATTGGTGCTGAAACTGACAGATCATCTCGGAAGAAGAGACACCAAGAATGAGGGGGTGAGGGATGCGGGGGGAGAGAAGGACTAGCTGAGGAGCCCAACTTGCTCTTTTGGGCCTGTCACATCAGCACAACAAGCTCATCTGAGATAAAATAAAGAGGCTTCCTCTGTGAAGAGGTGACAGTGGTGTTTTAGGTGGAGAGTGGCATGGCCTGGAAGGAATTTAATTTGGAAGGAGGTACAGTTTTCCAGCAGATGCCCGATCCCTTTGCTACTCTGTCTTCAGGAGGTCCTTCTGCAGAACTGTTTCTCCGGTGGCACTATCAGAAAGTCCTTGCAGAGAGTGACAATGGGATAGGGCAGTCCATGGAGAAGTCTGGAGCAGTGTGATCCTGCTGTGGGACAGATGGGGAGCTGCTCCACATTAGCACCCGCGCCTACGAAGCACGGGGATGGGCACCATGAGGGCGCAGAGGAGAGGAAATGGGCAATAGCCACCTGGATTTGGATTTCAGAATGTCTGGGCATGGGTCCTAGTTCTGCCACTTAACCACATGACTGTTGGGCAGTCATTGTATTGCTTTATCTGGTTTCTTTGGCAGTAAAAACATCATTACTCACAATATGGGAAACGTAAGAGACTGCTGGGAAAACATCTGAAACTGTTCTGCAGACTCTCAAACACTGTTCAAGTGTTAAATTGTAAAATCCAGTCTCTGCTCTTAGGGACTTTACAATGTGGTGGGCAAGTAAACACAAGTACAAATGAGAGAATAGTCTAAAATTAGTGCTGGTGGACAGGAACAGAGAGTAAATGCTATGTGTTCAAGGCAGTGGGCTGGAGTGATGAGGGAGGGCAGCAGGAAGACCCTGAATGGGTTTTAAGAGATGGAAAGACAAACTAAGTAAATGGAAAAGGGACATTCCAGGCAGGTAAAAAGCACATGAGCAAAGGTGGGGCAGCAATTCTACACATGATCTGTTCTGGCAATCAGATGCACACCAGAGGCTGAGAACTGGCCCCAAATTTGACAAATCCAATCTGCAGGTGTTTTACTTGCACAGTGTTCATTTCTTTGTTTAATATCATCTGGCAATCTAAAACAGGGAGATAAAAATAAAAAATCCAACTTCTCATTCTTTTTAAAAACATGGTCACATTGGGTTCATTTTCTCAAGCTGGCAGCAACCCTCTGGAGTTTCTGAAAGGGTTCATGCCACATCCACTTCATCATCTGTTGCCTTTTCGACTTAGTCCATTTCACTCACTCCATTACTGCCTGACCACATCAGCATTTGAGCTTGAGATTCCTCTGCAAATAAGCCTCATATTTGGAAAGGAGGTTCATGAAAGGAGCTAGATGAGAGGAGACATGAGTCACCAGAGATGCCCTAAAAGAGATGCTACTCGGCCTACTCCTGCACACCTGACATCTTTGCCCACGGTCATTGAAGCAATCACTTTCTTCACCGCCTCCTTCTTTTTCTCCTTCTTGTCACTGTTGAGCTCTGCCTTCAGCTCGAAGATCTCCCCTAAAAAATAAGGTAGGCATGAGTAATCCATCCCCACCCTGTCAGAGGGCAATTCTCAGTCCCCATCTTCCAAATGAGTGGGAGAGAGGCAGGTAAAACACTCCATGCTGCTGGCTAAGGGCAGTTTGGGGCCCCTGGCCTCGGGTGGGATAGACAGCAGAGAGAAACAAGTGTAAGCAGAGGAATTAACAAGATGAAAGCATGGAGGTCACATTGGATTGAGGAAAGAGGAACCATGGAAGCTACAAACATTCTGAGACAAAAAGTATGAAGGCAGATCCTGCTCAGCCAGACCGCTAAAAACATAGAGGAAGCAAAGACCCCCTCAGACCCTTACCTAAAGCCTTCACAGCAGCAGCATAGTGTAATGGAATCTGGGGACTTAAGGTTTGAGGGGAGAGGGTAGGATCTGCTTGATTCTCATACTTGGCTTTTCTTGTTTTCCTAGAACTTCCATTTAAAACAGCTCACTCAGGGTTTCACTTCCTGAGCTACAAGTGGTTACTCAGTTTTGAAAATGAGAATTCGGCTGCCCCACAAGTGCTCTATATAGCACATGTTAACTGTTCTTATGAACTTGATGATCTGGAAAAAGCAAACGAGGAAGTAGGGTTGTTTGGGGCCCTGCCATGGAGAGGTAGTTGGGACTCCAATAAATTTAGTAAAAGGTTAAGAAGGCAGACTTCGAGTGACAGGCCTCCTGTTTAGTAGCCACCAGCATTTCCTGAGCCTTTCTCTAAGCCAGATGCCACACTAACTTCTTCCCATGCTTTTTCTCATTTCACTCTCACAACTCCGCATTTCACATTTTATAGACAAGCAAATGGAGGCTGTAAGAAGTTCGGTAACTTGCCCAAGGACATACAGCTGGTAAGAGGTAGGGCCAAGATTCAAAACTAGGTCTGCCAGTTCCAAAGCTCATATGCTCAGGCTGACCCAGGACACTTTCTTTGCTTCTCTAGACCTGTTTCCTTGACTGTACTCTCTACCTTGACCAGGGCACTGAATTCTCTCATTAAACACTCAGCTGTGAAATACCATTTAACCCTGCATTAAGCGAGGCAGTTATTATTATTAATTTATCTCTGTCTTGACCTTCTCTTTTGTAGAATAAGAGTCCCCGGCTTCTTTCTCAAACAACAATGGGTGGGGGTGAAGCAGACTATCATACGGTGGGTAAGAACTGAGAAAGTTCTAGACAGATTTACAGTGACAAAAAGAAAACTAGCAGGTTTTTATCATGTCTGAACAATGTGGTATTCAGCAAAGAACTCCAAACAAGGTTAAAGAACAAATACACAGCACAGCCCAGGGCAAGGCCACACTGAGGATATTGCTCAACAGAGCCAGGAGGAATCTGCAGACTTTGCAGTTCAAATTCATGGCTCTGTAGAACTGAAGGAACCCATGCCCTTAGCCTCCAAGAGAATGAGCACACCATGTCTCCCGGCTGCAGAATCCAACAGACCATGATGACTTTGACTCTGGACCCTGCTGCAGGGCTTGCCCTGCTTTGCTGGAAGTCTTGAGTTGATGGATCTAGGCTTGAGTCACCCTGGCCCCAAGAAGGCTGGTGAGGTGAACCTGGGAATTGCCTGCATCTGAATGTCTCTTTCCTCAGTCACCAGGCCAATCTCCTCAATCACATATAAAGCATTGATTCTCGCTACCTTGATGCCATCCCCCTAGCTCAGGCACCATCATCTCCACCTCTCATCAGAGCTTTGGTACTGGTCTCCCTGCCTCTCCCCAGCTTCACCACCCCTTCGCCTCTTTATTATAATCTGCCTTGGACCTTCCCTTGCTTAAAACCATCACTGATATTAGATTTGGACCTACGCATCTCTCTACAGATATTTTCCTCAAAAGAAAGCCCACAAAAACCCACCACCGATACCACAATAGACAAAGCATTAAGTTCACCCCCTCCGGCCTTGCTCACCAGGCCCTGCACTATTGATTCCTGCACACCTCTCCAACCTTCTTTCCATCACATTCTTCGGTAACTTGTGCCAAAGTGCTTTACTTTCCCTGCATGTACCATGGGCACTGGCTTTGCTCCTCTCCTCCACTCTGTTCTCTTTATCTTGATAGGTCCACCCAGGACCCTCCCAGAACCTCCTATACTTCCTTTATCAATAGCACCTACCGCCCTTCAGAGCGATTACTACTTAATAAACTGTCTTCTCTGCTCAACCACAGCAAAGCCAGTTTAGAGACTGTCTCCTCCATTGCACATGGCAGGTATTCAATAAAAACTGGCTGGACCAATAAATGAAATGCCTGAGGATGGGCAGCTGACCCAACAATAGACACTTTTCATTTGCTCAGCAGGAGTGTGTCAATCTTACTTGGAAGGAAGGAGGGAGGAAGGGCCAGTCAGAAGATGCTTACAGGGCCAAAGCATATTTGTCAGTTCCTACAATAGCCTCCATTTCCTGAAAAGCAAACAACCACAATATGCAACAATATAAGATGAGCTTAGCACATTTCAGTGTATCAACTCAATAGACTAATACTGAGTTGTCAGACTGTGGGGAAATGTATGATAATGTCAAATGAAAAACAGGATATAAACTCTACTTCAACCACATAAACATGTGCCCGCTGATAAGGACCAGACACACACGTATCATGTGGGGCTGCTGATAGCAAGTGTGCCTTCTTTTCTCCAGGAAAAACGCATATTTAACAATTTTAAGCCATAGGGAACAAGAGAGGGCTTTCTATATTTGGAGCTAATGCTCTTCCCTTCTTCAGTTCTAAAACAAGCATTCGATTTTTTTATACCATCAATAGTTCAATTTTCTGGATCCACAGGGTTATAGATGCTCTGAGTATTTCCTACCACTCACTTCCAGGCCTCCCCCGACTCCACTCGCCATCCCTGCAGGGGGGCAAGAAAAAGGGTTGGGCAGGGGAAAAGTAGGACAAGATCCCACAATGAAACAAACAGTACCTTTCTTGGTTGTGGTGAAATATTTTGAGTCGGTCATTTTGGTCCCTTATCTGTGGCCAGACTCTGCAAGACAGAAGAGAGGGGTGACTTTCCACTGTGTTCTATTCCATTTTCAGTTACTGAGCACAGGAGGAGGAGAGAAGGATCCAGTACACATGTGGTATGGGAAGTTAGTGTCTTATCTCTCTACTAGGCAAATGAATTGTTAGATAATGGCTAATAAAATTTTAAATTTTAAATTTTAAATTTGCATATCTTTGATCCAGCAATTCTACTTCTAGGAATCTCTCTCACAGAAATACATGCGCAGGATATAATGGTTTTACTGAAGCACTGTCTATAACAATGCACAACTGGAAAAAACTTAAATGCTCATCAAAAAGAGAACAGCTAAATACTCTTTTTAAGGGTCCACAGATTAGAATGCACCCAACAATCATGGTTACAGCAGCACCTTTGTGATGCCCACTCTGCTCAGCACTGTTCTAAGTGCTTCACACACACTAACTCATTAAAGCCTCATCACAGCTTCAGGGAGGCACTATAAAATCAAATGAGTTTGGAAATGTCAAGTTTAAAAAGTTATGAAGATTTATTCTCTCCTCAAATTTTCCAGCTTCTCTGACAGTGATATGCATTATTTGTCTCTACAGAGGGCTAGCATCTATACACTATAGACTCTACAGCATTCTTCAAATATAACTGGCCAGTCTTCTCAAAGCACCTCTCAGGACATCTAGTGTTAAAATTCACAGTGTGAAGTGCTGTTTTAAGGCAGTAAGACAAAGAAAGTACCCAGGTCCTCTTATTCATTCAACAAATGTTTATTGGGTACCTACTATATAACCTCAATAGTTTCTCTTGGCCAATAGAAGAAAGATAAAAGAAGCTAGCTACAAAGGAGTCAAGTACCCTGGATACATGGCAGAGGCTTCTGGGATTGTTCTAACATTTATTAAGAAGCTATCATTAACCAAGCCCTCTCAAAGCCAGAGGTTTTACACACATTATCTCCTTTAATCTTACCAATAAGGTACCTGCTTTTAATCTCATTTTTACAGATAAGGAAACTGAGGCTCAGGGATGTTAAGTAACTCGTCCAAGATCATAAGGCTTGTAACTGGTTGGATCTGGGAGACCATTTCAGATCTGAGCTCAGCACCTGTGCTCTAGTGATGAAGGAACTCTGCTATCTCCATCGGAGAGGGGAGGGGAGGGGAGGGGTACAGAGCCCTGAGACAGTGAGTGGCTAAGGACTCAGTCCAAAAAAACATGAGCTACGGCCATGCCACTCTGAACACGCCCAATTCCATCTGATCTCGGAAGCTAAGCAGGGTCAGGCCTGGTTAGTACTTGGATGGAAGACCACCTAGGAAGACTAGGTGCTGTAGGCATAAAAATAAATAAAATAAATAAAATAAAATAAAATAAAATAAAAAACAAAAAACAAAACAAAAAAGCATGAGACTTTCAAGTGTAACCTTCTAGTACTACCTGTAGCTTCACATGTTAAGAAAATCATAAAACCTCAAAAACACATTCTCACTTTGTCTCTTCTATTGCCTCGATGGAAGAGACTCAACATGTAACCCATTAACACCTTCCTTCAATTCATTACTATGTGGGGGAAAGACAGTTACTGATGGGACAAGTATGAGGGGATAAGGATCATTTCAAAAGTCTCTGCAAACAAAGCCAATATAGCTCCTCTATGGCCCAACTGTATTTTTCCAGGCTAATCTTGTATTTATGGCAGGATGGCAATAAGCTGTTCCCCAACTGAGATACCTATAGATTTTGTTTTAGTAATCAGTGGAAAACAAACATGTACTGTCTTGGGGATGCCTTATATCCTTTGTGGATCCCATTAGGATAATGGAATAAAGGTTTGGCTGATGAAATGGTATAAAGGAAAAGACAGAATTCTACTTTCCTTTTGCTTGGCAAGGTTGAAAAGGGATGATAGTACTTTTCTATGGGAGCTGTGAGAAAGAGCAGAAAATACCACTGCGTCTGATGATGCCAATCTCACAACAGGGACTCTAATGGCCAGTCTTGGCGGCAGGAATCAGGGCTGTAAACAGATCCACAAAAGGAGGACCTGGTCTGGTCCACAGCGCTATCCATCCTCTCGTTCACGCCTGGCCCAAGGCTACACACCTGGTCAGTATTCAGTTGATAGTTGTTGAAAGAAATGATAAGAGACCACTGAAAATTCTAGGGAGCCTCAGCTTGCTCTCTGATAGCTCTGTTATGTAACTATTTGGCATTTGTTTCCTACAGGAGTTTACTTACCGAGAAGCCTCATCAACCTAGGAGTTTTTTTTTTGGACCTCTGAGAATGAGCAGATAAACAAGATAATGGGATGTCTAACACACAATAAAGGGCTACATGGCTTCAGAAGGCACAGGCTTGAGAGCATAGCTGGCATTGGTACCCTAAACAAGAGGGTTCCCTGTTTCTCAAGGTTAAGTTTAGTCTAAGAAGAAGGTTCAATGAAGGCAAAAAAACCAATATCACATGCCAAAAGAATCACAGAAATTAACATACAAACTCAGCCAATGTTAAATCCAGAAAGAAATCAAAATAAACAAAACAAAAACTACCTTAGATGTGTAACTACAGCACTGCTCAGAAATTCTTCCTTCTCCAATAGAGGCTCTCAGGGGCTTTCCCCTGATCTGCAGGCACAACACAGTATCCAGGGGCCCTGAAATCCCAGAAAATAACTTGCTGGTGACAGATCTGTGTTGTATGCAACGACATAGCTGCTGATATCCCTAGAGCATTGAGCTTTTGATGACACTTCCTTTTATAGGCGCTAAGCAACTTTGTACACACAAACTTAAACTGCCGCCCCGTGGGCAGGTGCTGGCTGCCTCTTTTCTCTGCAGTATCTATTTCACTTATCCCTCTGCAGAGGGCCTCAATGAGACTGGTGATGCAGAGATCGGGTCCCTCTGAAGTTGTTTCATATTCAGGAAATTTTAAATTTTAAAAGAGGAAGGGAAGTGAGAGAAGTGAAAACACTTTTGCAAAGCCCCTCCAGAGCACAGATTAAAAAAACCTCGCTTCACTGTGAAAGATCAGATCACCTGCACCCTGTTGATCTACAGAGGGTGGCTATCTCCTTATGTCTTTTCAATGCCTCTTGGATTTCAGTGTAAAAAAGGTTTTTTCATTATCTCTGCAGAAATGGAAAAATCCTATGGTTCAGTTCTAAAGGAGCTCAGACTTGTAGATGACACAGGAAAGACCAGCAGCACTGCTCAGCTGTTGCCATACATTGCATTCCTACTAATGGAGGCAAAAGGGGCTAAGACCCTGTCCTTTGATGAATCTGATTGTGCAACTAAGCCACAATTGAAAGCAGGCAGCCAATTTAGGCAAGAAAAATCTTAGGGTTTGGATTCCATCTTGGAAGTGGCAGGGTGCATTAAGAAAAGCAATAATTGGAGAGAATTTTTGGTTCGGAAACTGCTCTGGCCAGTGTGATGAGTCACTTTTGCTAAGGAAATGGCATTCTGGGCAGGGATACCCCTCAACTGCAGTATTTAAAGACCGAAGAATAGCTCAAGGAGATGGCACAGTCCAAATTAAAAGAGGAGCACACCCGGAAGGACTGGTTTGTCTTTGAGGATCCACTGCTGCTATCCCCACTTAAGCTTACTTTTCCACACTCATCCTCGGAAGGTGATTTTGATGCCACAACCCCAGGACCAGTTCCTGTTAATCTCATTAAAAAAAAAAAAATCATATTGACATGCCTACTTCCTCCTGCTACTAGGCTTAAAGAAAAGGAACTGAGAAATAAAGCCTGAAATAGGACAGTTTTCTAGAATTATAAAGAAGTTCCTAGTAAGAATCACTGACAAAGATGTAATGTAATATAAGAGTGGAAAAACAAGGTCCTAGGAAGAAAAGGAAAGAGGAAAAAACTCATAAACTCCCAGCTAAAGACTTAGGATTTTTTTTTTTTTTTAGCCACTGGTGTTAGGGTTAGGTTTAAAAAAAAAAAAGTCTTCACATATCTAAATGTAATTTTGTGAACAAGAAGAATACCTTTCTGTGTTTTAAGCTAATAAAATGAATTTAAATCTATAAAAAAATACATTAAGGAAATGAGTACTGAATATATTGCAACTTTTCTCCAGGTGTCAAAATTGCTAATAATAATTAATGATTTTTAAAGGAAAGAGTACTGAACTAAGGTTACAGTTCATTTCATCTGTATAATTCAATCTCCCCTCTCGAAAATGGGGGCATCACCTCTTGCTAGTCTACTTATTTCACATATTTCTTTTGATGGGGTAATGTGAGAATGAAAGTACATTATCCCATCAAGTATAAAAATAAACATTGTAAATATTGTGGGGTTCCATTTACAAGAAATTCTGGAATAAGAAGTAGAGGCAAAAGTAACCTATGGTGATAGAGGTCAAATCAGTGGATGCTTTTAGGTGGGAAGGACTGACTTGAAGGGAGCACAAAAGAACTCTAGGGGTGATGGAAATGATCAGTATCTTGATGCAGATACTGGTCAAACTGTACATTTAAAAGCTGAGCATTACACTTTATGTAAATTATACAAACATTATTTTTTAAAGTAACAAACAAACCAAAAAACTCAATGCTAGAGAAGAAAAATAGAACACTGTATCACCCAGAGGAAATAAAGCCTTTATGAATGTGACATAAAATCAAAAAGTCTTAAAAGATCTATGAATTCAATTATATAAAAATGCAGGGTCGGGACTGGTTAGTACTTGGAGGGGAGATCACCTAGGAATACCAGGTGCTGTAGGCTTTAAAATAAATATATAAAATAAAAAATAAAAATAAAAATCAAGTTTTCCTGCATGGACAAAAACATAACAGTAATAAAAGACATGACAAACACACTCAAAAAATTTGCATTATATCACAGAAAAAAGCCTATTATTTTCCTTAATATATAGAAAGTGACTACAAACAGACTGGCAAAGGATGTAGCCTGTTCACAGAAAATGAAGTACCATGGTTTAAGCTTACTTATAATAGGAGATATAGAAATTGCAACTAT